ATATATATAGATATAGATATAGATATATATAGATATAAAAATATATATAGGTTCAGAGTACAACATTCACAGGTGCATATATTGTCGATAGTCGTATCTTTGTTGGGACTTGGCCCCCAGTCGTGTGTGTATTGGTTACCGTACTGTCATTCACATTTGCACATCATTGTGGATACTCATATCATCTTTGCTATCACCTACACACTTACTGTATTCGCACTGCACCCCATTGTAGTGCGTCTGGAGTACCGAAATTTCCTAGAGAGGTACACGTGCTACGAGCTCATCCCAGAATCGTCCAAGATGATTGTCTTCGATAGCCAGCTGCTGGTCAGGAAAGCCTTCTTCGCTCTCCTCAAAAACGGTAGGCGTTTGTGGTGTTTGTCGTACCAATACATGCGCAGGTTATTCCGACAACAACGCTTGCTGAAAACCTAATGCCACCCACTCTGACCCGTCTGCCACGAGCGTTGTTTCAGTCAGCAGCCCCTTGAGAGTTTGATGAAAGGGATGTGTTGTGTTGGGCCTTCTTCTTCGTATGCGATACCCATAGTCGTATCAGTTTACAGGTCGACCTTGCGTCCTCGGGGTGCCTTGGCTTTTGGCTTTGTTATAGGTGCGCATACACGCAATAGTACCATCACGAATGTAGTCAGAGGGTAGTTTGATACTCAATCCACATCAATAACACCACTGGCTGTCGTTCTGTGTGGTTTTCTGTTCGTTCCGCTTGTACTCGCTGTATGTCATGCGCCGTCTCCGGTTCAGTTCCCAAGTAGTCATGGCCATGTAGATGCGTGTGGTTTAAGTTCTTGCTCACGTATGAAGTGTGATTGTATGACCACCTCAGCCTGTGATACGCTTACCACCCCAGGCGCAGGCCTGATGTCACTTTGTCGCGACTTTATATGGCAGTTCCGAACTATAGTCTTCTCCCAACGCTAGTTCTACTAAACTGGTGTCTGTGCGTTCTGATGTGCTATTGGTGTCTATTGAACTTCCCGCTGTTCTCCCAATATCTTCGTCAGAAATCCGCTCGGCTCCTGTTTGGGACCATAAAGTACAATCGTTCGTTGGCATGGTAACCGTGACCGACTATATAAACATCCTGCGCAAGTACCACGATGAACCAGAAGAGCTTGGACGCCAACTAGACACAAATAAGATCCAGGATTGGAGAGGTACGTACGCTTCTTGTCTTCACGTATATATTTAAGTGCGCCAACGTTTTCGCCTGATCGGTGTTGAGTCTTCGCATGTATTCGCGAGTGTGTGCATGTCTCCGTGTGTGTGTTTGCCGATAGTGTAGTGCTTTGTATACGGCCTGCCCGGTCAATGGCAGTATGGTTTCTACCCGTTCGACGACTGTTTGGGCTACCTTGGATCGATGTCCAGTTACGATTAGGCTCATTAATTTATACTTTCAGCCGGTTGATACATATTGCGAGCAAGAGCGCCCATGACTCTTTTTTACCTACATGAGTGTCCCGTTGACCGTAAAACGGAGTAAATATCTGTGACGTCTGCGAGTAACTAGTACAGCAATTGTTCTGCAACACACACAGTTAAGTGTAAGATATTCATAGTTACCAATCAGCGCCTTTATATCACATTGTGGAAGCGTCCCTGTTAGAGCACACACACAGCCGTATCGCCATAGATACGTTCGATGTTGACCGCGTACTGACTTTCTCACTGTCCTGATTGTCACAGAAAACCTGGGCCTGTCACCTCGCATGATCAATATCGGACCGAAGGACGACCTATACGTAGCTGTCAGCACGCTCCTGTCCAACAAAATTCATCGGTTACCTGTGCTTGATCGACAAACGGGCAATCCTCTGTTCATCATCACACACAAACGTGTCCTTTCATTCATTCACCAACATGTAAGTAATGACCTCCCAGCGATATCTATGTGGTGGTGCTGTACCGGAGCTGTGTCACGTGTATGTATGTGTTGTCTATACGCAGGCACCCGTACCGGTAGTGAAAGGGATGTCATGCTAAGCTCATAGTGGAAGTGTCATCGAGTCTTCGAGTGTTTGCAAATTGCTTACAATGGCTTGGTCATGTGAGGATCACGGCACACTCGATCAATACCGCTCTGCATTGAAAAATCCGTCCACGCATGGCCGATATTATTCTGATTGAGAATATTATTGTAATGGTTGATAATACTGCTATAATGTTACGATGGTTGATATCATATTATAATGGTTGATAGTAATATTATAATGTTAATAGGGTTGATATCATTGTCTGCATATGTCGCATACAGTTTGTTGCCGCTGTATATTGCCTTTGTACATGTCATCCGAAATGTTGTGCTGGTGTACATTTCCGGTTGTGTGTATATTGGGGGGGGTTGTCGATACACATATCAGTTAGTCTGATTTATATACAGTTTGTACTAGTTTGGCCGATACCAATCCCTGTGCTCGTGCTCTCTCTCCGCTTGGCTAGTGCTGTTTGTAGTTATGCGCTCTGTCAGTGACGCTAGGCCCACAGCGCGTATTGGGGATTTCACTATCTCAATAGGTACGCTCGCTTGTCAAGTTGTGGTTGTACTCGAGTAGTAGTAGTTATTCGAGACTTCAGTCATCTCAATAGTATGCTCGCCTTTCACGTTGTGGTTGTACTTAAGTAATAGTACATATATATATATATCTTGAGGTCAACTTCGCATAGAAGCTAAGAAGTGATCAATATTTTGGGTTCAATCGGCTCAAAATTGTATCTTTACCAACATAATTGGCATTGGATCCATAAGCCACCCCTATCGAGCGTATTGTAAATAATGACTCACCTTTGGGAACCGAATTCTGGAAGACAAACTTTAAGTATGGTTCGTTTGTTTGTATCAGACTTTTGAATAGAACATTAGGACCTATACTTAGCAGATATGCAGCACTTGCACACACTCACTCCTTATACTTAACAGATGTGCATCACTTGCACACACTCACTCCTTATACTCAGCAGATATGCATCACTGGCACACACTCACTCCTTATACTTAACCGATATTCAACAGTTGCACACACTCACTTCTTTTGCTATTCTATCGACTGGCAGTTTGCCGCCAGCGGTTTGGCTGCTTTGGATTTCACCCTGGAAGAGCTGAACCTTGGCTCAATAAGGAGATGCGGAGGTATGTAATATATATAAATATATATATATATATATATATGTATGTATGTATGTATGTATGTATGTATGTACGTATGTGTATACATATATATATATATGTGTGTGTGTGTGTGTGTGTGTGTGTCAATTGTCAGTTATATTCTATCTCACAAAACGTTTCTTTACAATCTAATCGTACTCGTTCAAGACGCGATTGCTTTCTCGTAGAGGCGAGTGTCGCATCATTGAACGCCTCCTTGTCGTTGTGCGTACTACCTGTGCAGCTGTACTTGATGTATTCGAAGAGTATCAATCCATCCTTCACCTTACGCTCAATTGTATTCACTGGGACTCGATGGTTCGTGTGCGTTCATGCTTTCAGCTGTCGTGCTCACCGTCACACTGAGTACATGTCCTCCCTGATGCTGCGTTGCCCTTGGTGTTCTCCTGTTTGACATAGATTAGCTTGCTGACTCGTATTGGCAAACACTCTGTTTTCACATATATTGTCCAAAGTGTGTGCCTTCAACGGTTGGTATGCGCAATACTAAGTAGTGTCGCATGCTATCGGGCAGTGTAGTAGAGCATGTGCTACCATGTGTTCCATTACACTACCACGAAGAGATGCATGGGCCATTGGGTTGTGTACATGAGCCGTCTTATATGCGTGTACGAATTCGTAGTCAGTGTTAGAGTGCACATGACCCATTCATATGTATATGTATGTATAGGTATATGTATATGTATATGTACATGTACATTTTTATGTATACAATATAATTTACTGTGCATGTTCTCTTGGTGGTCTGCCCGTGTGGTCCAATGCAGTAGCTCAGCCTTGCGTCGTTCTTCATGCAAAGCATGTAGTGCCCACCAACCCGACCCAATTGACGTGAGAAAAATAATTGGTATATACAAAGCAACCTTATATCTGACTAAGCCAAGTGTCGTATATAAAGGCACGTCTACTTCGAGTAGTCTGTTGCATGGCCCATACCTTCATCCTCTTGTATGGCCCACACACCATTCGTTCTTCCCCTGCACACGCAGAGGTACACACAGCAACCATGGAGACGAAGTTGTTAGATATTCTGAATACATTCGTGGAGAAGGGCGTCTCCGCCGTGCCCATAGTCAACAGTGAAGGTATAAGTCTCGCTCGGTTCGTGGGCTCGCATGGCGCACGAGGCAGAGGTGTTACTGTCACGCGTGTATTATTTTGTGTGCATGTGTATGATATTGTATGTGCATGTGTATATTATTTTGTGTGTATGTGTATGTTATTGTGTGCGCATATACATGTGCAACCGATCCCATACGGATGGCAGTCGCAAGTACATCTTGTTGTCGCGCCGTGTTCCAACCACCTGTATACATCTACAATGAGTCTTTACACGTTGTTTCATATGCGTGTATGTGTATGTGTATATATCACATACTCTCGCAAGTGTGTGTCGACAGAATATCGCAATTTGGTCGTCCAGCACTCCGTTCTGCTGCGAGTGTGTTGGGGCAGGTCAGTGTTCGAGCCGACAGCTTTTGCATATAATCCGCAACTCACAGTTCAGTGTTCGAGCCGACAGCTTTTGCATAGAATCCGCAACTCACAGTTCGGTACCTGCAAGATCAGAGATCTGCCTCTGATCGGCATGCAGACTCTCATCGTCACAGCAGGTGCCTTATGTTGTTTTCATAGCAGTAATAGTATCGAATCTGGATCTAACGTTTAGAAAACCAGGCATCCTCAAACGCGCACCAAGGTCAACGTTTGGGGGCGAGGCGAAACAGCACTACGCTCTCTGCAAGCCCTGAATATTCTGGACGGTTTATATCTGTGGTATATATCTATGGCATTTACGCTTACAAAAAGCATCTGTTCTCTGTTCTCGAAACAGATGTCGTCACCGGAGTCTACGCCAAGTTTGATGTCATCACCCTGGCACGCGAGCGTACATACAACGATCTGAATGTGCCGCTGAGCAAGGCGCTGGAGACGTCCGCACACGTATGCATTCAATGGAGCCCGTGGTTTTCGTTTCGCATCATTGTCAGTGCGTAGGGATTTAGGGTTTTCGTATATACAACGATCTGAATGTGCCGCTGAGCAAGGCGCTGGAGACGTCCGCACACGTATGAGTTTAATGGAGCCCGTGATTTTCGTTTCGCATCATTGTCAGTGCATAGGGTTTAGGGTTTTATGTACGCAAGAGTTTGTTGGGGATGAGTATACCTGAGGATCAATACAGTGTCATTTGCTATATGCGTTAACGGTGTCCATATGGAGTTCCCTTGGATGACACGTGTACTTCACTTCCCACCGCAACGCCTTAGTATACCGTAGCGCCTTATTAGTTGTTTTCTAATTACAACCGTTAACGTTTTCGAGTTTGCATTTCAATTGAACGTGTGTGTTGTGTGCGTCACGCACTGGTGTCCAATGAAGGAACTTGGTGACACTAGACAAAAGCTCCAGCCGTGGGCTCATTCAAAACGTTGTGTTACAGTACTCTCTAATGTTATCGCATGACTCGCCTAACACTCTAACCATTCTCAAACACCTCACAACGACGCAGACTCAGAAATCCGAGAAGGATGGTGTACACACCTGCTCACTCGAATCGCCTAACACTCCAACCGTTCTCAAACACCTCACAACGATGCAGACCCAGAAATCCGAGAAGGATGGTGTACACACCTGCTCACTCAAGGACTCGTTCCGTAGTGTGATCGACAAAATCGTGCGTGCGCGAGTGCACCGTCTGATAGTCACAGACGACGACAAGCGACCGGTGGGTATAGTATCACTATCTGATATCCTGGCGTATCTTCTGGGCACGGAGGTTTCCAAGAATGTAACTTAGGAACCACCTGTGTGTATCAGAACAGGTCTACCAAGCCAACGTAGTGGTGACCTGCATTACCTAATAAACCCCCGTATGGTCTCTCATGACGGACGTAACCGTTTTGTTATGCTTGCTAAACTCTACACTATTCTGTTAAACGGTTAATAATCTGTTAAAACGGTTATAAATATAAATGGGCACTGGAGCGCTTGTACAGGAAACGCTTCTAATGGTTCAGAATGTATAGCGTAGTGGTTATTCTCGTGAACCACAGTATATCTTGACTCGAGCTAGGTAGGCAGCACCTGCATGCTACACGACAACGATGTGGCCTATATTTAATAGCTTCTCCTTGGTGCGTGCTGAGTGACTACTGTGGTCAATTGTGGTTGTATTGTATTTGACAAAGTACAATGACACTTAAGCCGACGATTCCACATTTCACAACACCATGCCGTCGAAATTGTACGGGCTCAATCGCACAAGCGTAGCAAATCTGGACTGTTTTAATATAGGTCAACCTATGAATGAATGAATTCGCATATTCGGGTGGCTATCCCATCATCACTACATGTCACACGGTCAGCTCCCGCTGATCTATCACCATAGGTACCCACCAGGAGAGCGTGTAACGTGACTATGCTATGTACTGTACAACTTGAAATACAAACGTATTGATCATCCTGAGGTGTATTGTGACTATGCTATGTACTTCACAACCTCAAATACAAACGAATTGATCATCCTGAGGGCCTTTCTGCTACTTGCCGTGATAGACGTTACTGGAAGGTCTGGTAGGAGTACCAGCACATACCCACGGGTTGTCACTGACTGACGGAGATTTGGGCAGTTATGTTCCGTTGCAGATGTTCAGCACGCCAGTCGTAGCGTAGCGCAATGCGTTCATATCTGAGCGATGGGGAGACCTGCCAGCCACTTGCCATGATAGTCCCTGAGCTCTACTGAGATACACTGACTATTTGTCAGGGCACACCTAGCACAATGTATTCAAATCTGAGCGACGAGGAGACCTACCAGTCACTTGCCATGATTGTCCCTGAGCACTCCACTGAGATACACTGGCTATTTATTAGGCACACCTAGCGCAGTGTATTCAAATCTGAGCGACGGGGAGACCTGCCAGCCACTTGCCATGATAGTCCCTGAGCTCTACTGAGATACACTGACTGGTTATTGGGGCACACCTAGCGCAGTGCAGTCGACAATACTGGCAATAGATCCTTGATCCTCTTACATGTATTGCAGATGCGGGAGTTGGCAGATGTATACATACACCTTGCTTGTCTCCTGCAAAGGCGGTTGTCCTTTTTTCCGCCACAGTATGTAACCATGAGTATCACTTTACCTTATTTATGCTAGTGGGATTCTACACACGCATCATGTGCGCGCACTCGCCTTGCGGTTTCGAACCTGCACAGTCCTGCCTTGATGAAGAACATATCTTACAGACAGTGTTATCTACCCACACCTAACCAAGGGAGGGATACAACACTACTGGCGATTAAACGCAATATGAAGTACGGCAGGCTTATGTGGCGTGGGAACACATGTACCACACTGGTATTGTATCAAATGCACAATAGGGCAGATATGGCTACATTAGAGTGTACGTACTATGACACAAAAGGATGCGGCTAACAGATAGAAGTGATTCGGTGTGCTGTATAGTCGGTAGATCCTTGATACAAACGTGTAAGGGCAATGTGTTGTGTTGTCGTATAGACCTCCAGTACGGGCAAATGCAATCAATACGAAGTTGAGAACTTAGTATAGAGAAATAACATAGACACGAACGGTCTGGGTTTAGATAAAAATCACAACTCGGAGAAAATGCGGATAGAAGTCATACAATTGATACGCCTGCGCCCATTGACCGTTCATCCCACCACAAATACGACCACACGCGTCAACCCCCCTGGTCTGTGCATTGCCACCCAGGGCGCGGCTTTGTTTTTCTCCATGTTGTTCTATGGTACCGAATAGTTCTTGGTAAGCCAGAAGGTATTGTTGTATTCAAAGTCCTCCGGAAACACGGCCCGACAGCCATTATCCGTCACAGGCGTATGAGTTCCGAATGCGCTTGTTTGTACCAGAGACACGCGGGGTTCGGGCTGGGTTTATAAGCAGTGCGTGGTTGGGTCTTGGGTTTTGTGTCGAATTGGATACGCCAGACCACAACTACGGCCGCGTGCGCTGAGAGTTTGCGACACCTGCGATCTAGCAGTGGCAGAACTTGGCCTTGGACGCCCACAACAGCCGCACGACCGAGACTACACAGTTAGCACAGGAGTTCGTAGGAGAGCACAGGCAAGGAGTGTACCAGGCCCAGGTGGCGTACGCACACATGGCCCCGGTATATGAGTATTGTGTACTGAGTTTAATTTAGCGTAGCGCGCACGCGGTAGGTATATGAGTACTGTGTACTGATGGTAGGTATACAAGTACTGTGTACTGATGGTAAGTATGTAAGTACAGTGTACTGAGTTTAATTTAGCGTAGCGCGCACGCGGTAGGTATATAGTACTGTGTACTGATGGTAGGTATATAAGTACTGTGTACTGAGCTTAATTAGCGTAGCGCGCACGCGGTAGGTATATGAGTACTGTGTACTGATGGTAGTATATAAGTACTG